CATAAGAAACGATATAACTGGCCAGTCTAACTTCAGAGCATGCATCAGCCCTTTTACCAGTAATTGGTCCCAAATAACCTCCCATAGTTCAGGCTTAATATCACTATTATGGTAATCCTTGTTTCGCTGATCCCACAAGCGAGGCTCATATTTCACAAGAATTATCAAAAACGCTTCATCAATTTTATTATTCATTATTATACCACTCCGTCGAAATGAAAGATCGGACTAAAAACAAACACTTTTGATTTGACTACTCGTCGGTCAGTAATCGGTAGTGATCGTTTATCGTCGTATCGGACTACCCTTTTCAATGAAGGCATCTAATTTATAACTTAAGTGTTTGTTTTTCTTCCGATGTCGTTCGATGGTCGTCCTACATCGGGTCGGGAGAAATACGGATTCAATATAGGTGCAGCCTAAAGGCCGGGACACACCTGTCATACACCCTTCAGATCCGACTACCAACATAGAGTCGAACAAGTGTCTGAGAGGAAAATGGTACTTTAGTCAGAATAGAGTAGTTCACATCGTTCCGATTTACCGCTCTGGCTTGATACACTTGCAACCATTTCCCTCTCAGACACTCGTCCGACTGTATGAGTCGGATCTGAAGGGTGTGTATGACAGGTGTGTCCCGGCCTTTATGCGGGGCTCTGCCGTAATTGACCTTCTTTCCCTAGCTACTCGTGTGACTTTTATGGACAGAGTAAACTTAAAAATTATTTCTGACACTGAGTCTACAGGAGATGGATGTCGAGCTTATGACTCCAACTGACCTCCCTGTAAATTTAGATCAGGAGCGAGAGCTTCTCAACTCTCCAACTCCTGATCCAATAACTGAACCTAAAAAAAGGTTTGGTGGTGCAGCCATTAAAAGACTGAGTCGTCTCCTCAAGAACGGGGTACCTTATGAAACCGCCCCGCACCTAACCCAATGAAGCTCACTGAACAAGAAATAAATGAAGAAAATATGGAATATGATCAAAATATAACATCAGAAGAAATCTAATTGTCTCTAAATTAAATCAAAATCGACACTTCTCCGGGTCCAGATGGCATAATATTCAAAGTTCTCAAGAATAAACAAATAATCAAGATCATTTAAAAAAGTGCAACCATAATTTCGAATACAGGTCTCATTCCTCAAAATTTCAGGTAAGCAAGAACAGTACTCCTTCATAAAAATCAACATGGAAATTTACCTGAAAACTGGAGATCTATTTCAATAATAGAAAATGTTTTCGACAGTAGATTCAGAAAATATATCACATTCAATGAAAATCAAAGAGGATTCACGTGTCTTTCAGAATCTCTTATGAATACTTCTATTCTCAATGGACTTTTGAAGGATACGAAAATTATTAAAAACAATATCACATTGAGTTTTTCACACAATGGTAAAGCCTACGATAACATTGGCCACGATCATCTTGAGAAAACAGTACTATCATCCTCCTCACCAGAAAAAATGCAAAATATCTTTGATGAATTTAACTTTAAATTAATCAGGAATAACATTTCTCACCTGAGCAAGACGGTTTCTTATTCTAAAAGGAATATATAATGTTAACGAAATTAACATTTTGGCTCAAAAAGTCTAGTTAATTCAGAAATTTTATCGAGAGCAATAACAAGAATATGTAAACTTTCAAAAAGCACTGTAAATAAAATTTTTTGAGATACTGAAAAACCATGTGTACCTATACATATCGAGCAAAAACTGAACCTATTTGGAAATGGTAATATTTTTGAAAAGATTTGTTTCGGACTAATGAAAACCTGAAATGGTTTTCTCTTTCAAAATCTTTCATTTTTAAAATATATACTTTTGGTGCTAAAACGAGCGTATCAAATTGAAATGTTGGAGTTACGTTTCAGGTTGGTAGGTAAGTGGCGTCATCTTCATTGCGATAGATATACTTCATCGTAAACCCACTCAGTATAATGTAGAGACCTCTACAACGCGAATTTAACTACTCTCTTGGGGTGAGAGCTCTTATTAGATAACAAAAAATGATATTGTGGCGAAAATAATACAAATATTGTCTAAGGACAATGCTAATATCTCAAAAAATTATGGATTTTTGAATTGGTTGAGTAATCATGTTGAGTTGTAGCTAAAGATCTTTTTCATCAAGTAAATCTCTGACATCTAGTGAATAAAAGTAACACTACAAGAAGTTTGTGTTATTTTCCGAATTTAAATTTACTACTTTGAATACTATACCAAAGATGTCAGAAGTTTTTTAGAGAACTTTCACTTTTTTTGCATTGATTTTAAAACTTTTTATACTAGATATTTTTACGGTAATGAAACTGATGGTTTCAATTTGAAATTTTATAATTCGCTTCAAAATGTTGAATTTTGAAAGACAGAGTGAGGTTATTCTATTGAAGTAAACATAGAAAAATGGATGGTGGACTCGAAATAGGTGACTTAAAATTCATTATTACCTACCCAATGATAGTTTTTTCTAATATTTCAGAACTCTATAACGACAGCTATTCTAGTAGCGGTGAAAATTGTTGAAATTATGCTTCAGTTATTTTCATTCGGTGTCAAAATTCGTGAGATTCAAGATACCTAATCGTCAGCTGCATGGAGGGGAAGATTTATTGCTCTGAGGAATAAAACATCAGTCACGTATGTGAATCACATGAAAAAATTATATCCAGCCATTGCATACCTTTTTCAAGCAGCCGAATTTTTATATTTTAAAAATGTGTGTAACAGCGTCAGTTAGCATCATAAGCATGTTGCGCTGACAATAAGCTCTAGGTAAGTTATAAAATTTAATTTTAGTTTCCCCTTATGATGTTAACTTGGCAGTATTTTTTTCGGGTGTTGGAGAAGTGTCTTCAATAAATTCATTAAATATGATTTTTTGAAAATTCGTTTCCCGATGTGTTTCACGATGTATCTCCCGACGTTTCTCTGTAAAAGCATCAAGAATTTTTGTGTAGTCTCAAAAAGTAGAAACCAATATCTGAGAACTCAAATATACCTCAACTACACACATGGATTATATACATAGCTACAAATATCAATGAAAATATCGCATTTGCATAAATAAAATGGATGATGAAATATAATGAACGAACGTCGCATTCCAAATTGGTTTGTATCAGATCACAACAAATATGAAAAAGTATAAAAATTTCCCCTCCTTTTTTTATATCATTAGAAATGGAGGCGGTATAGGTCCAAAAAACGAAGTTCGACAATTCTAGTTTTTGGCAAATATATTGAAAACAACCGCTGAAATATGGATCTGAAAAAATATTACTCTAGTACCTCAAAATAGGAAACTTTTGTCCATCAGATAAATCAGCTAAAAAACGTATACTTATTATCAGTAAGTATACAGGGTGTACCAAACTGAATCGTCACCATTGCCAACTCCGTCATTATTGATGCTATGAATTCGTTTTAACGGGCAAACTAAAAAAATCTGTTTAAAATCTGTTTTTTCGTTAACTAGCTGTCGCACCCTTACCAACGACAACCCTCAGAAGTCGAAACTTGTGCGAGCTAAGGATTAACGTGGTCTTACCTTTCAACGTGTGATTCCTAACACGTGTTGGACGATAGATAGCAAGTGAAAATCGATCGTTCAGACTGGGGCTTGAACCACCGACCAACACGGCAGTCAATTCGAGTGAGTGAACAAAGCACACACGTCGAACTGCCTGGCTACCGACCGTCTTTTATGGCCTTCTTAATAACGACAAAATGTTCATAAAATGATAATATTTGTTCAATGGAACACCCTATGGCGGTTAAGTGTTAGAACAAACCTGTAGTGTTCTACACTGCAGTTTGGATGTTATATTATTATTATTTTATCATGCGCATATCGATTCATTAAAACATTGTCAACAACAAAGCTCATATCACCTGTCTTTCTAAAGTTGAAGATGAGCGACTTATATGGAAATATTTATTTATTTCACTAGTACAAAGAGACAAATTGTGCTGGGATTTGAGCTCGTGAAACCCGTGATCGTCATATCGTTCCACTCACTTGACACCACTGAGCTATTTGGTATCAATTTACAAAACGATAATTTCCATCTTAAAGCCATTCCACTAGCCGTGGAATAACACGGCTAGTGGAATAAAGATAACATTGCTGCCGATTTTTGTTCGAATATTTTTCGAAATGCCGTTTTCCCATCAAGAAATATTTGATATGTTGGAATCCTACTTGGTTTGCCAGAAAAATAGCGTAAAAGCACTCTAACAAGAGGAGAACTAAAAAACGTTTTGTAATATCTGAAGATAGAGAAATTGACGTTTTAGCCTACTTTAAGGTAAATCCAAATAATTCCATGAGAGATTTATCTAGAGAAATAGCTGCTCCACCGACTATTATTCAACGAATTCTGAAGAAACATAAGATTTCTCCTTATAAGTCAAGACCAGTGCAAACACTAGAACCTGGAGACCCTGTGAGACGATTGGGGTTTTGTCGGTGGTTTATGGATAAATGAAGCGAAGATCCAAATTTCTATAGAACTATTATACTGTTGTAAATCATGCTCGAAAGAAAATAACGCCGGCCGCCGCTGGAAGCCATGAACCAGGCGTAACGTGACTGAGAGCACGCGAGTGCACGATGATTCCCCGCCAATCGAGAAACAGCGATAATAATGCTATCGACTTCGACAGAATTTCGGAGAAATTTCGACGTCATTCGATTACGATATTTAAGGGCTAGCCACGAGGATATCGGGACACGAGTCAGTTCGACTCGATACGCCGAAGTGTAAACATCAAAGCGAAAGCTGAAGTGTTACCTAAAGTGTTACGTTAAGAATTTTAATTTAAAATCAGTGCGAGTATAAAACGTTTACAGTGTTGCGTTAACCTAAACACTGTGAATCTAGTTCTTTTCAGAACTGTGTGTGCGAAAGCACACGATAAAAAGTGAAAGCGATAAAGTCTTTCTTTTCTTTTTTCTTTTCCAGACTCTTAGGACCCAGTCCATTGAAAAATGGAGTACAGGAAACTAGAGGAAACCATTCACGAAATAAGCGAAGAGAATAAGCAGCTATGGGAGATCAACAAGAAGTACGAGGAAGATATCACCGCAATGAAGGAGATTATCATTAGTATGAAAGGCAGGATCGACGAACTCCTAACGGACAAGGAGGAACAACAGAAGAAGACAAAGGAAAACAACTCGGACCAGAAAAAACACACCCGAAAAGGAGAAAGCGAAAAACAAAAAAGAGAAAAAGGAAACACAGAAGGACAAAGACAACGAGGACAAAAAAAGGTAACCAAAACCGAAAAAGTACCCAAAAAAACAACAACAACAAAAGAGGACCCACGAACAACCAAGCGTCCAAGAGACGCGGAGGTGAGTTCAGAAACGGACTCAGACGAAGACGGGTTCCAAAGAGTAGAATCTAAAAAAAGCCGTAAGGCAAGAAAGAAAACCGAAGCTGAAATCCACGAAGAAACAGAAATGGACGCGGAAACGACGTCAATAGAAATGGAAGCGGAAGCAACGCCCATACCAAAAACGAGCGTGCCAACCGACAAGAGAAAAACCCCGGAGGTACCAGTATGGCCAACCACCAGGCCACACACACCTCAGACAAATAATACAGAGGGACAAAACTCAGAAGAAGGGGAACCAACCCCAAAAATGACAAGCGGACCGCCAATGGAAGTAGCAAAGCCGCCGCCAATAGTCATCCACGACTCCAAAAAGTGGAGCACTATTTCTAAAAGCCTAGAGGCTAGAAAGATAGGGTATAATAAAGCCAAACTCACTATTTTTACTTTCGTGGGGCAGTCGTTATAATGAAGGTTACATAAATAATGCTAAAATGAAACAAATTTGATTTTTGTTTCAAGTGACGTGAATTAACCACACTTACAACTGATTGTAAAATAGAAAGAATATCAGGTTCTCTCCAAAACCGTTGTGATCAAGTTTAGACTCTATTTGACTGAGTTTCAACTTCTCAAAAAGTTTTGCCAATGGGATTCTTGGTACTTTATCACAGATATCGATCTTCATTAATTTTTTTTAGTAATATGATTTGCCTTCATTCTTTCTTTTTTTTTTAATTGTTGTAGTAGTTTGTTTCGTCAAATCACTTCTTTGCCAAGGAGTTTTCACCATGTCGTATATACTGCCGAAAGTTCAAGAATAAATTCCTTATCGTATTTTAATCCCACCTATATGAAACATATAAAAAAACAAAAATAAGGAAGAAAAGTGTCACATTTGAATATGACAGTTGTAGTACACAAATAAACTGCATTAACGAAATGAAATGTGATAGGTTAATGATCAATTCAGGTCAAAGATGTGCTTTTTTTTCTTGAAAGATGTTGAGAATTGTGGACGATAAAGTTCTGAGAAGGCTCTAAGAATAGAAATTGTTGGAGATCAAACAATAATATATTTTTAATTGATTGTTGGCTTTGACAGACATCCATACGCCCTCATCTATTTAGACGAATGGATAAATGTTTACATAAAACTGAAATAAGCGGTCATTTCAAACCGCCCAGATCATCCACCACATTCAGGTCTATTAAACGCACTACAGCCTAATAATACATTTATAGAGTGTTGCGGAACTGTCTGGTCTATGTGGCCGTAGAAAGATCCAGAGAATGGAAATAGGCCAGTTCAAAAGTTTTATTGAAAGGTTGAATGATTTTATGTAAAAATGTAAGGTGAGGTGTATGTAGAAGTTGCTTGGATGCGCTTTTCTCGTATGCATGCACTGCCTGGGGCCAGTGTGCGCAGACATACAGAAAGAAGATCCAAGCATTTATGAATACGAGCGTAAGGGCCGCCGTAAATGCATCTTACTATATACCAAACAGATTCATAAACAGAGATCTAGACCTGGACATGCAATATGTGGACGTGTATAGGAGAGAACATGCAGAAAGCACGTTCGATAGAATCAGATCGCACTTGAATCCAGCGCCGCCCCCACGAGATCGCCGTCAGGCGGCTCCGGTAAGTATAATATTCCAGAGTGTACTAACCATATAATCTCTTTCAGCAAAACCGCGATTTCACTTTTCAACTCACATTCTCTCAGCTTCACTGAGAAACGCCCGTCTGCCATAGCACTGGCCGCCGTTAGTTTTGGGGGCCCCCATGCAAAAATTCAGTTAGGAATACCGCGACAAACAAGAGCCAAATAATTAATTAAAATACGAAGATAGATAGGGAAATAAAAGCACCTAAAGGCTGGTTTCCAACCCAAAAGAGGTTAGATTTCAATCTTGCTGAAGTGCCTAGCAGCTGGATTGAGGACCGTTTCCTTAAGAAACGGGGGTGGAAGGAAAGGGTCGCCAGGTCCAAACCTGCGGAAATGATTCGGTAAGGAGGGAGCTTGCGACCTGGGCACACAACCCGGGAGGGGGCATGGGGGGATATCGGGACAGTCAAGTAGACGTTACAGTGCGGTACGCGAAGTGGTCTAGTAAGGCGATAGATATTCAAATAATAGTTGAAGTGTTTTTTGTATTCAAAGTGAAATAATGTGATCAATCAGTGTAGTTAATTATTTGTTAACCCACAGAAAAAAAAAAGGTAACAATATGGAGCGATGGGGCTAGTTATCCAAATTGTGGGATGTATAATGAAAATAATGTTCATTATTGGAATAGACAGAGTTATCGGTCCATTTTTCTACCATGGTTCTCCGAACGGACGCCGTTACATTGATTTATTAACAGAGAGTTGGAAGAGTTTTTCGATGATCTTGATCTGGAAGCTCGTTAGATGATCTATTTTCAGCATGATAAAGCACCAGCAGTGGCGTGAAAAGAATGTTGCGATACTTTTTTGGAAACAGATGGATTGCTACAAATGGTTCTGTTAAATGACCTTTTCGTTCACCAGACATGGCAACTCTAGATTTTTATTTTCGGGGATTTCTGAAAAGTGAGGTGTACATAATAAAACATAATAATTTAGATGAACTGAAAAATTATATTGAAATATAATTAATAGAATTGATGGCTGAATTGTGTTGAAGGCAACAAGTATTTTCAATAGAAGGGTCCAAATAGGTGTTCAACAAGAAAGCGGTGTTTTTGAATATTTACTCGATACTTCATAGCTCTTTATTTGCCAAAACAAAGAAATTTTTCTGTATTAGTGAATAAAAGTACATTTTTTCACATAAGTCGCTCATTTTCAACTTTAGGAAGAAAGGTGATATGATCTTTGTTCTTGATGTCATTTTTTTGTTTTCGACATCGAGTTTGCCCATTTAACCGAATCTGTAACATCAATAATAACGGATATGACAATGGTGCGAACATAATTAATTTGGAACACCATGTATACAATAATATAATACCGATGCTCCTGCATGAATTTGCCACGAAGATTTGCGAATGGTGCATGAATCTACCTTCAATGTTAGTTAATGCTAAAGACTTGCTTCCATTTACAACAGAATGAGATGTCGTGGCCACAGCAACTAACAAAATGTTTATATTAAATGAAATTAAAGCCAAGTTGGAAGTGCGTCTGTTCTATGGAATAAAAATATATCCGCTTTTAATGTAACTCAAAACACGTAAACAAAACGCAGTGTTCTGTTTTCAACACATGCAGACTTGAAATTTTCATTCTTGTATGCCGTCGTTTCGTTTCATTTCATATCAACTGAAGAATATGGGTGGATGTCGCATTTAGAGTTTGATTTTTTTGTGTTGAATTGAAATATGTATTTTAATGGAAGGATATGTTTGCAGTGTACTGCATTAGCTGAATTATGTTAACGTTTTTATATTGTTTGTGAAACACGAAGTCGGGCCTTACTAACACGGACTGTATTGCCAGGCTATTTTCATGCATTCTCGGTAGATTCAGTGTCAAGAGTAGATTGATAAGGAAAACAGTGGAAAATATATTGTATAGATACAGACATGGTAATTTCCACAATTTTCAGTCATTTAATAATGATTGTAGGAAGTAAACTGAGTTGCCAGCTCCATTGCAAACATAGAAGACCTGTCAACACTGAACACGCGATTAAATCTTCATTTGCTGTGGATTAACTAACAAGGTTCAGCAGTTGTGAACAAACCGATCTTCTCGCTTGCGGTAGTGCAAATAATACTGTGTTTTTGGTCATTTATTAGAATGTTTGAATTTTTAAGTTTATTGATTTCCATTGCTTCCAAATGATACAGTTTCAAACCTTCATTTTCTATGTGTACAATTTCGAACTCTTCGTTAAATATATGATTCTCTTCTAAAAGATGATTTGAATATGTTGAACTTTTTTTCTTATTTACATGGCTCATATGATGTTCCTGGATTCGATTCCTGAATGTTCTGCCAGTTTAACCAATATATACCTCAATATATACCACACTTTAAATTATATACTCCTGATTTCTTGAATTTGGATGTTGTGTCTTTATTATTTTCAACTATCCTTCCCAACGTATTACTTGTTCTATATACAATTTTAATATCTCGTTTCCTCAAAAATGAAGCCACTTTTTCTGTTGTTTGTCATGCTATTATAAGCTGCTACTTTGTGTTGATATGGATAGGTAGAATCGTAATGTATTCACAGATTAGCCAATGTTTCTCTTTCAATAGATAATTTCAATAAAGAACTTAATATCATCAAGTAAATTGCAGTAAACAATGGGTTTGAAGCCGAATTGATAAACAAAATACTTTCCAAAAAAGTCTACGCAAAAGCGATTCGAGACGTTTTTTCTATTGGAAAGTTAGATAATCAAAATCAAAATAATAGAGCTTTAACGTATTTTGGACAAAGTAACGGCCGAATTAATCAGAAAATTTTCTTCTTTCTTTGAGAGTTTTCCATTATTCCAATTCCAATCCAATTTGCCATTGTTATATAATGGCAAATTGGATTGTCCTGTACTATTATCAGAAATTGATATTTTTGTTCCAAGAATATCATCTAGGCACATCAATACTTTTTTATGCAAAAGGACATAAACTAACTTAATGTTGAAATCACCAATCAATCTGATGTATCCGTAATGCGAACGAAATGAAAAATTACACTGAAAAATTCCACACTTGTCTTCTGGGTAGAATTCCAAAATAATATTCCGCATGGAATGTGAATTTTGGTTATATTATTTTCCAAATCTAAACAAACATCTATATTTTGTTTATATGATTCAGGTAAATCATGTAATAGTTCTGGTGAATTACTAGCCCATTTACGAGCTTCGAAACCCCCTTTACGCAACAATTCAAGTATTTCATTTTTCATCGTATTGCCGATTTTTAATGAATTATGACCATCCAGAATATCATCAATATATATTGAATGCTTTAAAACTTCTGAAGCCAGAGGATATTCTGAAGAGTCATTCGCCAGCTGATGCAGGGTACGTATAACGTACGAAAAATGTAGGTTGCATTCAAAATCTAAATTATTGCGAAGTTTGAAACTACAAATCTAAATGTTGAGAAACTGCATCCGGCTCGAAGGACCATGAACGTTTTTGAAGGTGTGTATGAAATAGGGACATAGATTCAGCAATGAGATTTGTTTTGATCTCAAACTTTACGTAAAAGTAAGAATAAAAAAATGAATTGCATGCTGAATAAGTTAACTCACCTTGTTTGATCTAGTATGGCAAAAGGGTTTATTATAGGAGTGGAAGTTCCTGATTAAACAAGGAAAAATCGCACATGTAACTTTGTGGGTTCGCACAACAACGTAATTGTATTGCAGTTTTTACACCCGATCACGACGAAGAAGGTTTTCTGTCTTTCTGCTCCTCTCCTTGAATATATTTCGGAACGACCAATTCGAG